AACGGGAAACGAGGAATCGATTATTAATCGGTTACCAGCGGTGATCCATCCCAAGCCTGCATGAGAAAAATTAGAGAGGATTTTTCACATTACAGATGAAACAGAAATTCTTGTCTAACTTCTGCCAATGTTTCTTTTGCACACGCATCTTGCATTTTTCTTGGCTCTTCAACGGTCACGTTTTTCTCAACTTGACGCGCCAAATGTGATCAATTTTGTCTTTGTGTAGAATTCAGTTTCCCGTTATCTATAACGCTGTGACTTATATTTTTACCGTAGAATATAAAAGACAGCGCAATATAGAAAGTGGAAGAAAATAATGAAACGAAATTGCACTTTTTCGTTAAGGGGTTGATACGAAATTTCAGTAGTTTGCGATTACTCACATTTTTTCCTTTTTTTTAAATTTAGAGCTCCATGCAATCAGTTCCACATTGGGAATGTTAGAGATAGAAAGGATAACGCAATATGAAAAGTGTGAGTCACGAGCGTTGAAGGGTTAAAGGGAAGAATTTCGATAGATTCCTCAGCAGTACGATACGCATGGCAGATCATACATCTGTTCACACGAACGCGGAAAATTTCGCGACGTAGAAACGATAAACTTAGAAAAGCAAGACATCGTGAATCCCACAGATCAATGTGACACATTCGCTGTGGCAGCGCAGAATTTCGTGCTTCGGTGTGAACGAACAGGTGAATTTCTGGGAGTTCCTTAAATCTAACTTCACGCTCTTCGAAAAAATTTGTCTTACATTCACTGCTGTCGCGTGTACTGCGAATCCATCGCTACCGCTTACGATCCGTGGTTTCCCTAAAAGAATGCTCGTTGTGCAACGAAAACTGACAATGAGGAAAGCCCGCGATTCTCTCACCTGGCGACCACCTATCTCGTGTCCTTTATCACGTGACCTGCTTCGCTGGAAGCCGCAAAAGTCGGCGACAGTCTGCGCTGATAGCATCCCCGTTAGTTTTACTCTATATCTACGATTACGTCGATCTAAATCCATTAGCGATGAAATTTGAAAGACAACGATGGAAAGAGAGAAAGGAGACTTTGAGAGAAATCGTTCGTTTCCCTTGAGACGCTTATTTGAACGTGGAAAAGTATTCGATTTTGTTTGGAAGATTAGGTAGAACATTGTCGAGATGAATTTTGATACTGAGAGAGATCGACGATGATAGAGTTGTAATTTTGAGCAGATGGTAGTGTGTCGTAGGGTTAGATGGAAAAATTAGGTCGTTCTAATGCCGGATCCAGCTATTTAACTAACGGGCTACCCGCTTCGCGTTGGTATGTATGTGGGATACGTTTTAAGGATTCACCTCTTCACAATATCATTAAACACTACTACAAACAACGAGACTGCCAACAGACAGCGATAGCCAGGTCACAGGGTGAACTGGAATTATATAATGAAATGTTGAAGCGTTTATTGTAATCGAGAAAAACATAACTAATCGGATATATGAAAAATGTATGGAAAACAGATTTTCTGTAATTCTTTCTGGTCGCTTAATTTTTTTTTTTTTTTTTGTTCGATTAG